TCACCCTCGTCGAGCAGGTCCACGAAGACCTCACACTTCTCGGGGTGAGGCGGAGGCCACTGACTCCCCCGAAGTCGAGAACCTTCCGGATGTCAGAGAGGACGCAATCCAAAGTTCCAGCAAGCGTACCGTCGTCCAGGTACCAGAGATTCAGGGGGCGTTGAGTGAGTCGACCAGCTCTTTGGCCCCGAGGCAGAAGAGAGCAGGCCCGAGTGGGTCTCCCTGCTGCACACCCGAGGAGGAGAGAATCTCGGTTCCGTCGTAGAAGAGACAGCTTGGCCGCGCGTATGAGCTGTGCACCAAGTGAAACAGGTCGGGCACAAGCTCCGAAGTCCTCTGGATCATGTAGTCACGACGAAGAGTATTGAAAGCGTTTGCGAAGTCTAGCTTCACCATGACGGCGGCAGTCGGAGCACTCTCCAGGAAAGCGCGGCAGGTATGGACAGCTGCCTCAAGTCCACCGGAGCGACCCACACCGAGCTGTCTTGGGCCCAGAGCAGAACAGATCGTGCCGGGGTTTTGCCTGCAGGCGATCTTAGCGGCCAAACGACGAAAGTCAGTGAGCAGGCGATGGGTCGAAGAGACCCGTCTTGCTTCAGCAGGGCGAGAAGCGTTGCTCCGAAAACGACTGGGCGGACGGAGTCGGGCACTCTGCCTCCGCGTAAGAGATCGGTCAGGTGAGCAATGCTCTCCTTGAGTCGGGTCGCCGACTCACCAAGCTCGGGTGCCGTTAGGTCCTTCAAATGGCGCGGTCTCAGCCCATCAGGGCCCGCCGACGAACTGTTCGGAAAGGACCTTATATCCATCTCGACCTCCTCGGAAGCCGTTCTGCCCAGCCAAGTCCCAACGGGCCCGGGTTGGTCTGAAGCGTCGGGCGGCTCGTCGGGATGTCTCTGTTTCATCTGTCGTACAGAGTCGGCGGACCTCGGTGCGAAGCTATCCTGGGACAGTAGGGCCTGCACTGCGCCCGAAACGTCACCCCCTGCCAATTTCCTCGAGGATCGCCGGGCGGCTTTTTTGACGTGAAAACGTCTTTAGTATGGCTTGGGTGGTCGGTCGAATGTACTTCGTCTTTCATGTAACGAAATTTGTCCAACTTCGGGGCCATCAAACTCCGCTTGTGCGGTTCGCATCGTGTCCTCGTTTGTCAAGACTTGGAGCAAATTTACGGTGGCTTCTTCCGTCCAATTTTCGTGGAATTGTATCGCCGTTCTGGGCATCTTCGACGGCCTCGGAAAGACCCATCCGAATATCCTAAAATATGGATAAATAACACTTTTCCCCGACGGTCGATGAACACTTCAGGACTTGCGACGGCTGAGCAGATGGGTCAATTCGTAGCGCACCCGATACAGTGTGCATGCGCAGCCAGAACATCCAGGAGGGTGGCAAGCTCGTCAAAGACACCTCGATCCATTCCCGGATACCGTACCTACATATGTCTGTATTGGCAGATTCAATTCTGATATGGTTTCTAACGACGATGCACTGAATATCACTTTGAAGGAACGGCGATTTCTACAACTGCGGTGGGCAGCTCACTCAAGAGGTAGTATTGCTTCATTTTTCATATGGTCTCATTCTCAGGATGAGACCCAAACCCACGAGTCGGAAACGCAAGGCGAAAAGAAACGCTAACCGGCCGGCAAAGATAGCGAAGACGGGCGCGGAGCGGGTTGCTGAACACCGAGCGCGCACTAGGGGGACGATTCGACCTATCATTGATACGCTATATGGGGCTTCCGTAACGAGCAGTTCCACGCATGAGGATGAGACAGTAGTCACGGAAGCGATTTCTGAACCGATTGACCAGGATTGGGCGAGATCTCCCGAACTCGTCCATGTCTGGCAACGAGCATCCGTATACTTCCACCGAAACTTCGTAGAGAATGAATTCGGACACGCGTGCAATGTGTGCGATCGGCTATGGTTTGAGCGGGATTTGAAGGCAGTGACCGCTCGAATGGCGAGTACGCTATCCAGCCATTTACCAGGCGAGGATACGACCATGTTCAGACTCTGTGGCAATTGCTTCAGAGTTAGTCGAACAAACAAAATACCGGCGATGAGTAAGACGAATGGATATGTGTACCCCCCTAAGCCATCGAACTTGCCGGATTTAGATCCCATAACAGAAAAGCTGATATCCCCACGAATCCCTTTCATGCAGATCCGTCGCTTACGTCGAGAGGGTTCTTATGGTATCATTGGCCAGGTGATAAATGTACCCGTGGAAGTAGACACTATGGTGCGTTCCCTGCCGCGTGATTTAGATGACGACTTCGCATTCAATGTGAACTTGAAAAAAAAATCATTCATGAATCATCATACATCAGCGGATTTGTGAGAAAATCATCGGTGCGGACATGGCTACAATATTTGGTCGAGCGACCCCTCTACAAACTTTACAATATCCAGGTGGATTGGTCTGTTTTCAAGGATTCCCTAATTGGAGCTGATTCCACAGCTGATGACGGCATAGAATTCCTGGATGTTAGCGATGCGCTAGAGTCCGAACTGATTAATTCACGGCAACACACTATGATGTGGAATGAAGAGCACTGCCTGGACATAGCACCGGGACAGAATAGTCGGGCAGAGAGTCTCCTTTATGATACTTATGCTGAGGAATTATCTTTCCCAGCAATATATCTCGGCTGTCCTCGCATCATTAAAACTGGGGTGGATAGGTCTCGCGCAACGGCATGCTCGATGTGTATGTCTGAGATTAGGAGGAAAGATCGACGCGGAGTAACTCCACAACATGTGCTATACATGGCTATGAAGATATTGCGGTTCCGAGTTCGGGATGGTATTCAAAACATGTATAGATGTTTGCGAAGCACCGTGAACATTACCAGGAGCATGATCGAGAATCGCGAATTCGTGGAACGTTTGATCGACACCAATCAAGCATTCCTCAAATCAATCCCAAATTCAGTGCAGTACTGGGCCTGTAGGAAAAAGGATTTGTTCGCAATGATCCGTCAACTCGGGAAACCAACAGCTTTCATGACTTTGAGTGCAAACGAAACGCATTGGCCGCATCTACTGCGCGTTTTGAACCGTCTATCAGATGATTCCGAATCACTTGGTGGCGATCTTGGAGTAGATGAGATCCTCGGAAAGCTTGATCGCTACGAACGGGCGCGGTTGGTTGCCGAGGATCCTGTGGTTTGTTCGATTTACTTCCACAAATTGGTGCTTGTGATAATGTCCATGCTAACCTCCAACAAGTCCCACAATCCGTTCGGCAGATACCGTGTTGTCGACTTCTTCTTGCGCATAGAATTCCAGCACCGAGGTAGCCCTCACGCGCACATAATACTTTGGCTAGACAATGATCCCGCCGAAGAAATCGGCGAAGATATGCCTCGGACGGCGCAAGCTTTGACCGACTTATGTAGCGTTGATGAGAAAGATCTGAGATGCACTGAAATGATTCGCAACCAGACTCACTCGCACACTTTCACATGCACGAAGAGGGGCGAGCAGCACTGTCGATTCAATATCCCTTATTGGCCAATGGATCGCACCAGAGTTCTCATACCGCTCAAAAAAGATGATCAACGACGTAAACTGTTGAAACCAAAAGTATCTGATGCTCGGAAGAAGCTTGAAACGAAAGCCTACGATTCAATTGAAGCTTACTTGAATGACATTGACTGTGATTATGAAGCTTATCTCAATCTCATCAGGTCTAATTTGCAGCGGCCGTCAGTCATCTTCAAAAGAAACATGAATCAAATTTTCATAAATACATTCCATCCATGGATTGCTTCCGTCTTGAATTCAAACATGGACTTGCAATTCATCCTCGATCCTTACAGCTCTGCGGCGTATGTCGTCGACTATGTCAATAAATCGAATCGAGGTATAAGCAACCTACATCGGGAAATGCTCAAAATACATGAAGACAATCCCGAATACGATCAAGCTGCATTGATGAGTAAGGTCGGGTTGAAAGTTCTGAATAGCGTAGAAATGTCCTCACAGGAAGCAGCCTGGTATCTCTTACGTCAACCTATGAGCTGGGCATCTCGTTCCACAGTTTCCATTCCCACAATGCCACAACATGAAAGGTACAAGTCGCGTAAACGAAAATCGGTCATGGATTCGGAAAATCTAGCTGAGGACAGCACGAATATATGGACTAAGAACATTATAGAGAAATATGAAGAGCGTCCCAAAGTATTGGAGTCGATCACTTTAGCCCAATTCGTCGCCTGGTATGAACCTAAGTCCCAACCGAGATTCAACGAGGACCCGGACGCCGAGGATTACGATGATCCCGAAGATGGTCCGGACAGACAAACTGAGCGCGGATACAGACGTCGAGATAAATGTAAAATCATACGCTATAGAAATTATGAAAGAGATGACCAACTGAATTATAAACGGGAGATGGTCACCTTACACATTCCGTTCCGTAACGAGCTCTTAGAAATCATCGATCGAAACAAGTTCATAGAAATTTTCAATTCCAACGAGTTGATGATCGTAGAGAGACGAAAGGAATTCGAAGCTCATTTAGACATCGACTCAGTACTGCAAGAGATTGAAGCTATGTGTTCGAGCACAGAAGAAGTAGTTGAGGGTATCGAGTCTGAATCTGATGACGCGGTCCCGACACTCATAGACAATCCCAATGATGATGATTTGCAAGCCCATGCGAACCCATCAAACATAAGTGCGGTCAGAGCTCGGAGCAATGTCATGAGCAAGGAGGAATACTGTGCATTGATACGTAAGTCGAACGCCGAACAACGTGAATTAATTTTGGAAGTCATACATCGATTGCACCAAACTGACCGGGAGCCCATCCAAATATTCCTCACAGGACCGGCGGGCTGCGGAAAAACATTCACACTCAAAGCACTGATGGAAACATACAATCGATACTCACAACAGCATAACACCCAGAACAATGCCTATATCGCGACGGCGACTACAGGAAAAGCTGCGGTCAGTATAAACGGAGTCACAGTTCACGCGGCGTTTCGTCTGACACTTTCTCGACAAACAACACATCTCTCCCCAGATTTGATACAAACGTACCGCCATTGCCTGAGAAACGTTAAATGTGTGATTATTGATGAAATCAGTATGTGTGGATCTCATACATTTAATTCCGTCAACTCTCGATTGCAAGCCATGACAGGCGAATACGATAAGAACTTTGGTGGCTTGGACTTGCTTGCGTGTGGCGACTTGAAACAATTACCCCCAGTCAATGCATCCCCGGTCTATTGCGCAACTCGAAACACACTCGGTGGTCAAGCGATACTTTGGCAGTCCTTGGATTACTTCCCCTTGGTGCAAGTTGTTCGTCAGAAAGAAAGTCATTTCTCGACCTTACTAACCAAAATAGGAAGCGGAGAAAACCTGACGATGGAGGAGCAAAACGTGATTCAATCAAGATTCCGAACTCATCAATGGTGCGAAGAGAATCTTCCAAACGGCGTCATACGTTTATATTACAACAATGCCGACGTGGAAGCATACAATATGAAAACTATCCCGATCACAGAAAACTCAGAGCAGTCCATCGCCGCCGACACATATAGTGGTTACCGCACAGAAACTGAGAGGCGGGATGCAATATCAAGAGTACATAAACTGAATTCCAAGGATACGGGGAACCTGCCCTACACAATCACCTTAACCGAAAGTTATCCATACATGCTAACAGTGAATGTAGATGTTGAGGACGGACTAGTCAATGGAGCTATCGGGAAATTACGTCGAATTGAGCACTATCCAAGCGGCCGAGATGGGACGCAATCTATTCGAGTCTGGCTGGAATTTGAAACAGAATATGTCGGTCGACACTTACGAAAGAAATGCAGACCGCATGTTCACTGTAAGCCCGGGTTCTTAGACGAGCGCTGGGTACCAATAGATTTGCGTTCAGTCAATATAAACATAACCCCAAAAATCAAATGCAGGCGACTGCAACTACCACTAGCGCCAGCCTGTGCTCTCACAATACATAAATCACAAGGTGGAACCTTTGATCAGATCGTTTACGAGTACAACAAACAACATAGGCAGCAACTCGTCTATGTCGCCCTGAGCAGAGTCACAAGCTTGGAAGGACTGTTCCTTACCAACGCTAAGGACGAATTTATCTTCCATCATGCGAAATGCGCGATTAATCCATCAGTCAAAGAAGTCCAGAATGAGTACAACAGATTAGCATCACATCACCTACCCACGATCACGAGATCAATAATTGAATTCCTGAAACCGGCCGACAATCGTAGATCACTTCTGCTCATAAATATCAATGCTCAGAGCTTGGCAGCCCACGCGGAAGACATTTCGACGGACGTCGTTCTTCAACGGGCCGACCTGATTGTTGCCACTGAGACATGGAATCACCCATCATCGACAACAGTGAAAATCGATGGATTCAATCTCGAACAAGAATCACGATGTGATAATAGAGCTGGGGGCGTCGCGATATACAAACGAAATGATTCAAGAATGAGCATTGAACCACTGCTGTCTCATCCGGGAAGTTCCATGGGATTGGAAGGACACGCTTCATCAGAGCATGTTAAATTCCGTTGTAATATTGCTGGGAATCTCCTAAATATCAGTCTATCATGGCTCTTATCCGACGCGGTGTCGTCCGCTACGAATACTCTCCCTCGGCGATGCCGAATCGCTCTCATTCTCAATAAAAGTCAGTTGTGATGTACTCTCGGTCGAGGGTGTCTCGTCAGTCAAGCGCTGGTGTCCTAACTTTCTATCGCCGGAACGATCTCGGAACCGAACTCGGGGAGTTCTGATCGCTAGAATCCGTCTCTCGTAACGCTCGATTTAACATTTGGTGCCGTGGCCGAGGATTCCAACTATACGCGATCCAACATGCCCGTTCAGTACTCTCCCGAGGACACCAATCGCCTGAGCGGTCCTCGCGTGGGAGCCGACTCGTTGCCGAGCCTCGCCGTACTTCGAGGGCGTCGAACCCGTGCCAGAAACGCCCTCCAGACCGAAATTGAGACACTGACGGTTTTCCAGTGCATCGACAACAGCAATCGACTCGCGATCCTCAGCGCGAGGTCCAGAGTCGACGGCCGCCTCGACGTGGTCCGCCGGGTGTGCGAAGAAATCTCGCGTCATCCCCTCCTCCCTGAAGCTGATGCAGAGCGGGAGTCCGAGGAAGCTGAGTCTGCGATCGAGTTAGGCCTCACCGCCAAGAGAATCATCGACGGCTTGCTTGCGATAGAGCTTCTCGAAAAATCGGCTACAGCCTCGGCCGTCTCGAGCTGCCGCGCCGACGCAGCGGCTGACGAGATCGTCGGACAGGTGCATGTCTCCGGTGAGCGATTACCTGCCGACGACGGCGGAAACCAAATTTCGAGAGTGAGCGCGCGTGTTGACAGTTCGGAAACAACAAACGGTGCGCGATCTTCATCAGTATCTGCGAGCAGCAACTGCGCCAATCCGAGACTCTATCTTGACACTACTCCAGAGGTATTCGACGGGTCAGTCTCGCGCTATAAGTTATGGCGCTCCCAGTTCATGAATTACGTCCGCCGAAGAACAGAAGCTACTGACAGCGACAAGTTGGTGGCCATGTGTAAACATCTCTCCGGCGCACCGAAGAGCCTGATCTGCGAGCTGCCATTGATCGATAGCAACTTCGAAGTCGCCCTACGATTGCTAGACGATAACTACAGTGTTCCGGAGCTCAGACAGCAGGAGGTGATCAATCATACCACCCGAGTGCCACTCGCTCGGAACCCGAATGATACCGCAGGATTGCGTGAGCTCCTGAACGATACGCAGCGAACCATACTCGCTCTGGAGGGTGTCAATGTGCCGTTGCAGAGTATTGCCCTAACGTACGAGCAAACAATCCGCAACGCTCTACCGGTGAACCTAGTGTTGAACTTCGAAGATCGGCAGCAGGACGTTCTCCCTACCGACAGTTCCGCGGACGAAAATCAGGCTGCCGCCGCAGCGCGAAGATTAGAAGACCTCCTCGCCTTCCTCAGGAGATACACCGTCCTGCGAGAACGGAAGACGTCGACCCAACAGCGAAGTACTGTCGGGGATCAAGCCGAGCCGACATCGTCTGATCACAGGAGGTCCAAGTCCCGTGTACTTCCTAGGAATCCTCCTCGCCCGCCTCCACCTTTCACCGCAGCTGCTGCCGCAAGGAACACTCCTCGCAGAGCGCGCAAATCTCGCGAGAGCCCATGCCTATTCTGTGGCAGCTCCGAACATCGACCGTCCACTTGCACCGCTGAAATCACAATGAGTCAACGTTTGGAAACTCTCGCACAGCGCCGACGGTGTGTGAGGTGCTTTCAGTTCGAGCATCCACCATCCCGTCGATGTACGGGACCCAAAGAGCCTTGTCGAAAGTGTAACAGCTCAGAGCATTACACGGTCATGCATGAACAGTCTGGCGGTCAGGCGAACCCTCGAACAACGGCCAGTATTCTACAAACTGTCGCAGCCGCCTCAAGCGCTCGCTCCGTCGTCATGACCGCTAGCGCATTCGTCATCTTCGGACGTTCGAGGATCAGGATCCGATGCTTCTTCGACAGCGGGTCAATGGTCTCCTTCGTTACCAGCAAGCTGATTCGCCAGCTTCCGGGCATCCCACCAGAGGCTCGCGTCGACCTAAATCTACAGGCTTTCGATAGCCAACACGCCATCACCACGAATCGTTACGCTCTCCGGCTGGTGGGTGCTCGCGACGAGTGCGAGTCGATCGAGATTCACGCCCACGAGTATGATTTCGGTGTCGACCCTCCATCTAACTGCTCGGACCAAATGCGACAACTCATTCGGCATTTCGGAGTGACGCATCCGCTGGCCGACCCATCCATCATCGATCACGTCGACGATGCTGCTCCTGATCTGTTGATTGGAGTAGACCAAATGTACAAGATTCTTCACCTGAACAAGGAAGCCGTAATCGATGGGAACTTGATCGCCAAATCCTCGAGATTCGGTTGGCTGATCTCCGGCTCTTACGGACCCAATTCGACTCGCGGCGATGTAGTCCGAGTCCAGCCCATCTGCTGCGCAGCTACGATGTCTCAGCCTGCGGAAGATCTCGAGCGTCTTTGGAAATTGGAGGCGATCGGGCCCGCCGAATCCGCGGAAAGCGACCTGAACGAAGCCGACCATGAGGCACTCCGACAGTTTGGGGATAGCATCGCATACGACGGTCAACGTTACACTGTCGCTATGCCAAAACGTGATTCCATTGAACAGCTGTCGAACAATCTCGAAACTGCTCTCTTTCGTTTATCGGCGAAACGCCGCGCACTAACGCGCGATCCCGAGTCCCTGGATCGATACGATAGAGAAATCATGGCCTTCGTTCGAGCAGGTCATGCGGAGGAAGTCTTCGATGCCGATCTGACAGCTCCAAGCGCTCGGGACCACCGATTCTACTTGCCGCATAGACAAGTCATAACCCAGAGAGAAGATGGGGACAAATGGAGGATCGTTTTCGATGGATCTTCCTCAGCAGCCGGCGAGACATCGCTCAACTCTCATTTATTGGCCGGCCCAAATCTGAATCCAGACATTCTGCGACTCCTTTTCAACTTCCGACTTCGAGCAGTGGCCCTCTCAGCTGACATCGTACAGGCTTACATGACCATTGACCTTGCTGCTGAGGATCGCCCCCTCTTCCGTTTCCTGTGGCAGGGACCCAAGGATACAAGAGTTCGCTGTTTCCAATTTCGAAGGGTACCCTGGGGCGCCACACCCAGTGGATTTTTGCTCGCCGCCGTTCTGCGCGAACATTTCAGGCGGATCGATCCGACGTTAGCCTACGATTTGGGTAGCTCGTTCTATTTCGACGATATGCTCCGCAGTTTCGACTCAGAAGCAGAAGCGATCCAGTTCTGCGACAAAATCATGGATTGGATGCAATCAGCGAGCATGAGTCTCGGGAAATGGAAGTCCAACTCGCGGGGCGTCATCGACCATCTCAGGACTCGATCGATCCTCTCGAGATCATCCGCCGTCTTGGTCGAGACTGGACTACTCCGGGTCCTGGGCATCGCTTGGGCTCCGGAGAGCGACCAGTTCCAGTTTCAAATGTCGGATGTCAGCCGGCTTGCGGGGGCGGGGAAGACCGCCACCAAGCGGCAGGTGCTTCGCGTGGTCGCTTCGATCTTTGACCCGGTCGGCTGGTTGATTCCCTTCACACTTCGAGGCAAGCTACTTGTCCAGCGACTGTGGTCACAGACGCTTCGATGGGACGATCCGCTCTCCGGTCCCCTGCTCGACGACTTCCGGGAATGGGTGGCCGAGATCCCGACCCTATCGCGCCTTCGAATCCCTCGTTTGTATGGGGATCCTGGCAGAGGAGTCATCGGATATCAACTCCATGTGTTCGGCGACGCCAGCGAGGAAGCGTATGCTGCCGCCGCCTACCTCCAGACCTTGTACGCCGACGGAGGCAGTGGCTGTTCACTCCTGATGTCCAAGTCCCGCGTGGCTCCTAAAGAGAAGGTCTCGATTCCCCGACTCGAATTGTTGGCTGCCTTGCTCAGCTCTCGTCTAGGAGCTTTCGTCACCGAGAGGCTGGGAGCGAAACTCGATAGGACGACCTACTACACCGATTCAGCGGTCACTTACTATTGGTGTATCGCAGAAGAACCCACCAGGTGGAAAACTTGGGTCTGCAACAGAGTCACCGAGATCCAGAAGCTTACTTCTTCGAAACAGTGGTTTCACGTCGAGGGGAAGCATAATGTCGCTGATATCGCATCTCGGGGTACGTCCGCTCAGGATCTTCTCTCGAACCCGGAGTGGTTTGGAGCTCCCTCGTGGCTGTCTGAACCTGAGGACCATCGACCGGTAAAGCGCCTGCGGGCCGGTTGTGACAATACGGATTCCATTAGTAAGGAACTCCGATTAGTAGTCACTCCCGCAGTCGTTGCGCCTGAATTGGTAGATCTTCAGCGATTCAGTAGCTGGGAAAAATCGCTCAGGGTAGTGGCGAACGTGCTTCGATTCGTTCGGCGTTGCCGCCGCCGTAACGTTGGCGACTCCGTCGGGGAGGCCGAATTACGGTCGCAGTCCGAGCTACTCCTCATCAAATGGACTCAGTCTGCCTACTTTGCGAACGAGATCACGGCCACTCTGGCTCACGAGAGACCTACGAGATCATCAAAGCTCACGTTATATCGGCTACATCTGGATGATAACGGGCTCCTTCGAGCTCAGTCTCGACTCACTGCTGCCAATCATTTCACATATGACGAGAAAAATCCCATCATCATTCCGGGCGAGAGCAGACTCGCTACCCTGCTTATATTACATCATCATCGACTCAATGCCCACATGGGCGTAAGCACGATTCTTAACGCCTTACGACGACGTTTCTGGATCCTGCGCGGTCGCCAGGTCATCAAGAGGCTTCTTCGAGGTTGCGTTGTCTGCAATCGAGCGCAGGGACCCGGCGCTGATCAGGTTCAGGCTCCTCTGCCGCTCGAGAGAGCCTCATTGGTCGCTCCGTTCACCGTGACCGGCGTCGATTTCTGTGGACCCTTTCACACCCGTTCCCGAGAAGGTCCCGTGAAAAATTACATCGCGCTTTTCACCTGCACCAGCATCCGCGCTCTACACCTCGAACTGGTCCCGGTCATGTCGACGCTCCAGACTCATCTTGCCTTGCGCAGATTCCTCGCGGAACACCAATCGTGTCGCAAGTTCATCTCCGATAACGGTCGCTCCTTTGTCCGCGCCGCAGCGGATATTCGTCGACTCTTCAGCGAGATCCGTAATCCTCAAGTTCGGGAATTTCTCGCTCAACATCGTATCGAATGGGTTTTCAATTGTCCCCGGGCCAGTTGGAGAGGCGGGTTTTTTGAACGTCTCGTCGGCGTTACCAAGAGATGTTTGATCAAAACTCTTGGCCGTTGCCTCGTCAGCTCAGAGGAGCTACGTACCATAATTCGCGAGTTATCGGCCACGATAAACGATCGACCGCTCTCGTATGTTTGTGACGACCCGAGGGAGATGCGAGCCATCACTCCTTCCCATTTTCTTCACGGAGGGCCACTCGAGTCCCCTCTCTGTGCGCGATTTCCTCTAGACAGCTTGGGGCCGAACGGGAGTGTTCCGGACATGCCACCAGGTGCAGAAGTGCTACGCAGAGCCTTGCTGGAGCGGACCAATTACTTCAAATCCCTCTCTTCGCGCTGGCGTCAGGAATACATGTTGCTTCTACGCTCGGCGAACCTCGATCGAAAGGGAAAACCTCGCCCGCTGACCGATGATTCTATCTGCCTGCTAAAAGAAGACACCATTCCAAGGTCGAAATGGCACATGGTTCGTGTACTTCGAGGCCATCCCGGCCGTGATGGCGCAGTACGAACATACTCCGTACGTTTCTCGAACGGCTTTGAGAGTAGACGAGCTGCCCAAACGCTCATTCCCTTAGAAGTACCTGACCGAATCGACGAAGAGACTCCTGCAGTGTAAATAATCGAAAGTCCTCATAATTGTGCTGAAACGTCTCGTTTCAGGGAGGCAGTGTTAAATTCCGTTGTAATATTGCTGGGAATCTCCTAAATATCAGTCTATCATGGCTCTTATCCGACGCGGTGTCGTCCGCTACGAATACTCTCCCTCGGCGATGCCGAATCGCTCTCATTCTCAATAAAAGTCAGTTGTGATGTACTCTCGGTCGAGGGTGTCTCGTCAGTCAAGCGCTGGTGTCCTAACTTTCTATCGCCGGAACGATCTCGGAACCGAACTCGGGGAGTTCTGATCGCTAGAATCCGTCTCTCGTAACGCTCGATTTAACAGAGCATACAGGAGACGCAACAATTGCTAAAGTTCACCTGACTGACGGAAATTCATTTGTTCTTGTGGGTGTTTATCTTCATCAGCGAACGAATCTCCAAAAGATGAAAAGCTTCATTACCAGGCTATTGCATGCTCACAAAATCGATAGTTCAGGAGAACGAAGTCCACTGGCTCTCATCGGAGATTTCAATACGTCCGAAGAAGACCGATCACAATTGGAAAAATTTCTCGATAGCGCGTTTTTCATGCAGCTCAAAAATCATGTATCAGAGGCAACGACGCTTGGCGGAACATGCATCGATCTGACATTCACGAGACATATGAACCTGATTTGCAAGCCATATGTTTCGTACTTTTCGTATCATCGGCCGGTCATGAATATCTATATCTATATATATGAAAACGTATGTCTGTCTGTTTGTCTGTCTGGTGTCACCTATAGACTCGAAAACGGCTGAACCGATCGTCGTGAAAATTTAGGAGCGTGTTCTGGGCGATCCAGCGGTGGTTATAGGGGGGTCAGTTCTCCGATGCGATGAGTCCTTCTACCTTAAAAAAATTATTTGAGTGCTCCAGTGGCGAAAATACGAAAACTCGGAAAAAAATTGAGAAATCGTAAATTCGCAAAATTCACAAACGCCTGAACCGATCGCCGCGAAAATTCGGGGGGGGGGGGTTCTCGGGAGCTTCAGGGAGGTCATGTGAGGGTCGTCGTTCTCATGTGATGGGTCCTCCCACCATAAAAAAATTATTTGAGTTGTCCTCTCACCGAGAATCAAAGATTTCAT